AGTTTCTCAGCTTTTGGCAAATGTTTTAACCAGATGCTTAGCTGTGCCTTGAGTTTTCCACAGAGGAGGAATTGAGAACTTCCTCCACACAAGATACTTTGTCTTTCTAGGGTATACCCTGTTACATCACATCGCAAAAGTCTGTCCAAGTGTATCTTCACATATTCTCCCTTCTTTTAGTTGAGATCTGTTGTCATGCTGCAGGCAAAACACTGGGAACGTTGTGGAGACTGAGACAATGTTTTCAAAGCCTGGAGACTGCAAAACCTATTTTGAGCCATAACAGATGCTACTGGACATATGGAACAGCTGAGGGGACTTGCACCAGGACTGTAAATGTTCTGCAGATCTTTATGTCCCTGACTCAGTGGGTTTCCTGTAAGAACTGGAAACTGGAAAGGGGAGAAGTGGATATAAATGCAAGTCACTAACGTACATGACTCTCTAGTGGAAAATTTGCCACATGGAAAGGGGAGTAACATACATTTGGTGTGATAAGGCTCATAGTGGCCAAAAAGTAGCCTAAACCCCAGCCCTAATGTAGGAAGAGTGTCGCATTGACCTGTGGCTAACTTGAGAATGGAGATCTTACAGCTCTTCATATGAATTTGAGAATCCCAGGCCAGCACATAAACTCTTCAATGGTTTGTTGGTATATGTGACCATCTGCAGTACTCTTGTCATGAAGCAGTTTTGGACTTCATAAGAACAGTCTGGTAAGTAGCTCTCCAAAAGTAATCCCCACAGTCCTTTATTCCTCACAAGTCTTCTTTGTCCCATGCTTTCCTCTTCCTTCCCTACTGCTGCCTAGCAGTCAGGTTGCACTATTTCATACTCCACTTCCCAGTGAACCTTTTGTTCCCCTACAAACTTTCCCAAATTCTAAAGCAGCCCTTTTTCTGCCAGCGCACTATCACTTTGTACTAATGACAACTGCATGAGCAATGGTAATTGCTATTACCTGCAGGGGCTTTTCTTGTTCCTCTCATCTCTCCTGATCCTAGCTTACAACCAGGTGCTATGTTCTGTTCTCTCTCCTCCTCCTAGCACTCTTCCAGCAGACGTGCTGAGTGATGCACATATACACACAGACTTTGCTCACAGACCACACAAAGCACAAAGGACTAGAGACAGATTAGCTTGCCTGTTTGCCTTGGGGCCTTTCTCTTCCTGCTCCAGTGTGCCTGGCTCAGCTGGCAGTCAAGCTGGGCTCCGTTGGTTACAAGTGAACTGACTTCCTCCCACCCCCCAGTGTAAGGAATTTTCTTTGCCCAGTTCACTGTTGGCTTAATGGCAAAATGTCAGAGCGTTACTTGTTCTCCCTTCTGCACTTTCTATAGAGAAGAGAGAGGAGATGGTTTCTTCTCCAGTGCCTCATGCCACTAAGTAAATGATTGCACGGGTTTAATCCCAGATGTGTGTTCCCAGCCTGCCAGAGTGGTGACACTGTCTGGGCAGAGGGTGATCCCTGCTCCTACTGCCACTGCACAATGCAACAGTTCCCTAAGAGTGATAGAATGGTTTGGATTCTTTAAAGCTCATCCAGCTCCAACCCCCTGTCATGGCCAGGGACACCTTCCACTTGACCAGGTTGCTCCAAGCCGTGTCCAACCTGGCCTTGAACACTGCCAGAGTTGGCGCATCCACAGCTTTTCTGGGTGACCTGTGCTAGTGTCTCACCACCCTCATAGTGAAGAATTTTTTCCTAATGTCTAATCTAAATCTACCCTCTTTCATCCCTCTGGATGGCATCCCTTCCCTCTAGCATGTTGACCATACCACAGAGCTTGGTGTCATCAGCAAACGTGCAGAAGGGTGCACTCAATCCCACTGTCCGTGCCACCAACAAAGATGTTGAACAGGATCGATCCCAACACTGACCCCTGAGGAACACTACTCATCACTGGTTTCCACTTGTGCATCAAGTACAATGTCAGTGATACACCATGCATACCATGTATGCAGCTGACTTGTCAGGCTGTGATGTATGTATGGAGGTCTGCAGCGTGTATCTCTGCAGGTTTGTACTGCAGACCTGTTGGCTGCTGAACCAAGAAACTCCGTTTACCCCCTGTTTGGTTTTCCTCCACTCTTTCTTGTTCAGCCCCATCACCTGTCTACACAGTGGCTGTCCAGTCTTTCCATGCCCCCAGTCTGTCTGTGCAATGTCCCTGCCATTTAACTGGATACTCAGCAGGGCCATACAGCATTATTACACAATCTCACTGCCTCATATAAGCTCTGGCCTGCTCTTGTCCTGTTTTTGTGCATGCACTTTGTATGTATCATCAAAGCTGGAAAAACAGCCATTAGATTACTTACATTTATTTATTCTCTATTTTATTGCTTGATTTTAATGGACCTTAACGACGGCATGCTAGTTGCGTCTCAGAGCTATATCTGGTGATGGTGTGCAAGTCAGGCCTGTATTTAGGCCATTCCATCAACTCATCATAGCATTTCATTTGGTAACTCATCACAGACTAACTCACTCCTTAAGAGGATTTTAATGTACCATGGTGAGCGTCCTTGCCTACGGGGTTTCCAATAAATTTTGTGCTACATGTTGCAGAAAAGAAGGCTCTGTGAATGGGAGTGGTGTACCTTGACCTCTTTCCTTACTTTAGATTTACCAACTAACCTTTCACACCATGGCCCTGGGGTGAGCAAGACTTAAGCTGGCCACAGATGGGGGCTGATGCTGATGGAAGAAAATGTGCTCTGCATACAGGTCATCCTTGACCTGTGAGCAGCATTGACATGGGAGAGGTTGGAGAAGAAGGTGTTGAGAACAAGAAATGGACCTAAAGGGGAGCACAAGGCTGAGGGGCTGTGAGAGACAGGGTGAACCCTTGGTAGAAGAAGGAAGAAAACTAAGGGAGGGCAGATTTCTTGGAAGGGGAAATAAGGGGCTATAGGCTGCCACCCCAACTACTGCATTCATATCAGAGAGCCACAGTCCTCACCCTAATTCTCTGCTGGAGCTGCAGCCAGCACAGACAAGGTCCTGCAACTCTTGCACACCAGAGTGCATGGAGAGCCCTCAGATTTGCCATGGTTTGCCTCCAACCCAGTAGTAGGAGGGCAACGATCCCAGAGTTGTTGTGTTGCTGTGTGTTGTGTTGTTGCTCTGTGATGCTTCAGTTCAGGTCAGTGTTAGTCTGAGCATCTTTGACACACACTGCTGCTCAGTGGAAACTGATCCAAGATCTGGACACTAATCTGGGACAAAGTCTGCTCCATATAAGTAGGCAAAAATAATTTTTCATCCTCTCCATGTTTTCGGTCACTCCAGTGCTGGCCTGCTCCTGATATAAATTGAAGGAGATCCAGAGTTATTTGAATTTACACCCTGCAGCAGCTAAATTGTTCCTGTGCTTAAATTAGCTGAAGGTCAGTGATCTTGAAACCTTTTCCGTGTTACCCTCTCTTCCCCTCCTCCCCTTTGCACTCCTCCACAGCAGGAGCAAAGTACACACACAGACTCTCTTTGTGTAGGAAGTCCTGGGTGATTTGGGGGAAGGGGAGCGCCGCCTTCAGGTGCTGTAACGATAAAGGAGAGAGATTTGTAAGTAGAAGGGGGAAGGACGAGAAGAAAAGAATATGAGAGTAAAACATAATGTTTCTTTACCCACCCTCTTCCATCAATAAGACCCCAACTCAAAAGACACAAAGATCTAGGTGAAGATAAGGTGTCTGCAAGGCACCATGGTGTCTCTTGCAGTGCTGCATTGCCCTGGCAAGGAAAAGCCAAAAACTTGCTTAGGAGAAGAAAGGTTTTGGGCCACATTCATGTGAAACATCAGCCTTTCCCATCCACTCCTAATATGCTTGAGCTGCTGGCAAGCATGGGTGCGCTTAGGTGGGAGTGGGGAAAACAGAGCTGCTGGAGAGAGAGCTCATTCAGATTGTGTTGTGCCAAGGAGAGAACAGAGTCCCATGGGTCATGAGTTGATGAGCTCTAGGCAGGAGTAAATGGCAGAGCGAGGGCTTGGTTTAGTAAAGCAGTATTGGCACATCAGCCTCAGTGGGTGATATGTGCCTGGGGTAGAGGTAAACCACACAGAGCTCAGTTAAAATCGGAGCTCTCTGTTGCCCAGACACAAACAGGGATGTCAGGAGCACAGGGGAAGGATGCAAGGGGTCTCTGTTTGGCAATGTTTGTGCCAAGGGGAGGAGTTTGCTGAGTCAGCGACTCTTCTGAGCTGGAAGACAAATTATCTCTGCCCCCTGCCAGCACTTCATGCAGATCCAGGATATAGTTCCCAGAAACGTCCATACATATGTTAGCAAGAAGGCAACTGTCTGCACATTTTGCAGCAAGAACAGCATGGCAATTGATGCAGTACTGAGCTGGGAGCCTGATATAATACATCTCCTGAAGGGAAAGCTGTGCAATACAGCGCCGATGGGCTTAATCTGCTGACTGCCAGGGAGCAGGTTGCTCTGCCTGACTCCAAGGAAGCTTGCAGGCAAGACCCAGGACTGGAAGCAGGCAGACTGCTCGGCGCAGGGGTGGGGTCAGGTAGTACAGTGCAGCCCCCTTCCTTACAACGTCCTAATTGCAGGGATGGAAGGATAGGAAAACTACAGTTCCCAGAACCCTTTTGTGCATGTGCATGCAAACTACAGTTCCCAGAACCTTTTAAGGAGCCAGAGAGAATGCCTGTGGAAATAGATGCCGACGATTTTTGCATAACACCGTGCAGCGCCGAAGTGCTGGCAGCCCTTGGTTAGTGATAATGTGAACAGGAGAAAAGCTAGGGAGAGTCAGCGCTGTGGAGCTGTGGTTTTGCTACCCATTATAGTCGCAGTGATATCCTCCAGCACAGAGCATCCTTTCTGCCGTCGGGACTCCCTCGGCAGACACAGGGAGGACTCTGGCCCCCAAGGAAACACGGCTACTGAGGAGGGAGAGGTGGATAAACTACAGATCCCGGCATTCCCCGGCAAAGAGCACCTGAGGCAGTCCCTGCATGCTGGGGGGGGGGGTGGGGGGGGGGGGTGGTGAGGATGAGGATGGAAGGCGGGGAGGACATGCAGGATGCCGTGGGGCTAAGCTGCACCTGGGGCATCCCACCACCCTCTGGCACTCATGCCAAGTGGGTGAGGCTCAATGTGGGGGGCACAGTCTTCCTCACCACCAGGCAGACCCTGTGTCGGGAGCAGAAATCTTTCCTGTGTCGCTTGTGCCAGGGCGAGGAGCTGCAGTCGGACCGGGTAAGGCAGCTGGGTTGCCTCCCGCACTGTACCCCACCGAGCTTGGGGAGGGCTGGAGGGATGCAGGGATGGAGCCAGACTCTGAGAGCTGCAGGAGTAGCTGAGTGAAAAATGCCTGCTCTTTCTCCCCCCTCTTCCGGGAATGATTTCCCCTCCCCAGATTCCACTGTGTTGTAGTCTTTTATCTGTCTTTCTGGAGCTGGGGAAAAGAGAAGACGTCTTCCCTCCACCCCTGCTCTCCTGCCTCTCCATAGCCCCATATTCCCTGCATCTAGCTCTCAGCTGTATCTGCCTGACTCGGCCTTGTCCCCTGTAAGGAGTCTCTCTGCTCCCTCACACCAAGCCTGCATGCACAGTTGCAGAAGGAGACTGAGGGCCGTTGTTTTGGCTTTCGCAGCTCGGTTGGTCCATGCTGAGGTGGGCACGCTAAACGTACAAATGCAGGAGTTACAATCCAAGCTGGGCTGACTTGGGTAGGGACTATCAGGGACCAGTTGATTTCTGAAGAATCTTAGAAATAGTGGACTTTTTTTTTTGCTTAGGTTTGTATTTTTTTCTCATAGTTCGGAGTATTTGAGGATTGGTTGCAAGTTCCCCATGTTTTCTTTCTCCTTGTGGTCCATCTCTGTTGCTAGGATGAGACTGGTGCATACCTAATAGACCGGGACCCCACTTACTTTGGACCAATCCTGAATTTCCTCCGTCATGGGAAGCTGGTTCTGGATAAAGATATGGCTGAAGAGGGTGAGTCTTGGAGCTCAGAAGCTTCCCACCTAGCATCACTGCTGCAGGCAGGACACAATAGCACTTGTTGTTGACCTTGTTGTCTCTCATTATCTTTCTGGAGGTTGATGTGAGGGGATTTGAGAGGGCTATCCCTGCAGCTCTTGGAATGCATGCCAATGTTTCCTTTTCTTAAAGGGGGCTGGAGTAGGTTAGGTAGGCATCCTAAAGGTGTTTTGACTTCATGACTATTCATTCAGCAGAGATGCCACCAAGACAGAAGTAGGCAAGATCTCTCAGCCTCAATATGCCATTTTTTACTTGTTTCTGATCCACTTTTACCAAGGCTCTGTGACTGAGTTTTCTATTAATGCTTGAGCATTTCTAACAAGGAACGAACCCCCAGAAGACCAAACAAAGCCAAGTCTCCCTCCTCTACTGACTGTAATAAAGACCGTTAATCAGTGATATGCAATGTATGCTACTAGTTCTGTGATGGGTCATGGGCTGCAGCAATTCCAGTGGAGCAAGCCAGACAAAAAGCATCTCTTGTTTTAGGTTTACAAGAGGTCTAATGGGTGACTCAGTAACATCATGGTGTTACCAGCCAGCAGTCCCTGATGCCTCGTTATGTTGTTGGATGCTATAGTCTAACAAGGAGCTGAGTGCAAAGACAGGCTGTGCTGTTCAGCCCTTGCCAAGCACAGTTTCTGCATGTTGATTAGTTTTCTTGCCTCTCTCTCTTAGTATTTTTACCTAATGCAAGGAAGGTTTTCCTCAGAATCATTTTATGAGTTGTAAGTCCAAAAATATGTCTAGGAAATGTACAGAATTGTAATAAACACAGTTCTGAGATTGTCTTTTAGTGACAACACCAGAACAAGTTGTAGTTCTCTGCCTCTAGGAGAGGGCCTGAATAAGGTGATAATTAGTGGTCATGGAGAGAGGCTGGAACCTACATTTTTTGGCCAGTTACGTGGGAAAAGTATTAGCAGTTCTCTGCACAAGCCTTCACTGGCAGTAGCTGTTTCTGTAGTAGCAGGCATCATAAGGAAATCGGGGTGAGCATTAGAGATGCAATGCAGAGAGACAGGCTTCTGTTCTTTGCAGTAAGAGTTTCAAGCAACAGAAACTTGTTGAAAAGCGAGGCTGCAGCATCATTTCTCCCTATGGATCTTGGAAAGCAAAACTGATCTTTTGCAAGCCAAAAGCCAAAGATGAGCTGTTGAGTTTTGTGGTCCTGTCTTTTTCAGGTGTGCTAGAAGAAGCTGAGTTCTATAACATTGGTTCTTTAATCCGAATAATCAAGGATCGACTGGAGGAGAAGGACTACACAGTAACTCAGGTATGGAGAGAAATGGCAAGGAAAGATAGTGTTGGGTGGGCAAAGAAGGGTGTGTGGAAAAGGAGAGTTGAGTCTAGAGGGAGAGCAGGCCTGGGAGAAGCAGCAAGGAATGTTAAGAAGCAACTAATTTGAGTTTGTGTGCAAATGTCTACATTACAAAATATCTTAGGGAACAAGCTATCACCATTTTAATTGCAATAAGCGAGTTACAGGCTTGTTTTGCGTCCCCAGAAGTAGTGCTGGATGTAGCTCTTGAAGCAAATCAGCTCCTTTAGCATTTGGAAGAAGGCAGTTGGTTGCTGTAGGATATGGAAGTATGTTAGTGAGAAGCGTGAAGGTGTCATGAGGAGGAAGGCTGTGGTGTTGGGAGCCTTAGGAGTGTAATCACAGTGAAAAGAATGGGGATACCTGTAGAGAAACCTGGATGGAAAAGGTGAAGACATGTCTGTGGAAAAGTTTAATGCAGACACTGAGGCACAAGGAATCGAACCTATGGCACAATCACACCTTGTCTTGCTCAATAACGTTTTAAAATCCGTCTTCTGGGAGTTTTGGCGGATACCTCGCTTTTCATTATGTCTGCCTCATGTTGCAAGCCTCCAGCAACGCAGTCATTTCGTGTTCTCAAAACCCCATCAGCAGTTGTGGCATTTGCATAAGTGGCTTTGTAACAACAAATGCAAACTCCCCATCGGAAGATCCCAGTATCTTCTGGGGACAATGCAGGAAGCACTCAGCTCAGTCCCTTCTCTCTAGAAATATTGTTATTCTTGCTCCCCATGATAACATAGTAGAAAGTTGGGTTGTGGTTTCACTCCTTTTTAACCTGGGACATGGGGAAGAGGAAAGGTCTGTTGAGCAGGGGTATAACCATTTCATTCTGCAGGAGGGCAACAGCCTTTAGCATCTCACTGTTGTCAACATGCCGTGCAATTTTGCTCTCAGGTACCTCCTAAGCATGTCTACCGTGTGCTACAGTGCCAGGAAGAGGAGCTCACTCAGATGGTTTCCACTATGTCGGATGGATGGCGCTTTGAGCAGGTATGGAGAAGGTAGAGGAGGGTGGGAAGCAGTTGCCTTTTGGGGAAAAGATCATGGATGCCATACAGTACACAGGCAAGGCACCTTTCTTCTCTCAGATTGTTGGGTCAGTCATTGATGGTGCTATCAACAGTGTCTCTATTTTGCCCCTTCTTTAGAGGTTTGGAGGATACTGTATTGACGTTAAGCTGTTTTGCATCCTGACTGACTCCTCTCCTGGTCTTTCTGTTGGGGGTGTGGACTGGACTCCATGCTACTTGGTGGGCTTTCTGCCTTGCTCCCCAGGTGGATTGGATGTTTGCAGTAACATGTGCTTGTGATTCTTGCTCTTGTCTTTTCTAGCTTGTGAACATTGGTTCATCCTATAACTATGGGAATGAGGATCAGACAGAGTTCCTGTGCGTGGTCTCCAAAGAGCTGTACAACTCCCCCAGTGGCCTGAGCTCTGAGCCCAGCCACAAAGCCAAGGCGAGACCAACATTTCTATGGCCCTGCTCCCTTTGCCTATGAAACCCTTCGCTTGTTTGCTCCCTCTTTCTTTCTTCTCTCGACTGTGACTGTCGGGCACCTCAGTGGAGTGTCCTGGTGTTCAGTACTGTGGGATTATACCCATTGCCCAAAAAGAGTGTGAGTTGAGAGTGGTGGTGTCTGGCTGTGTGTGGCAAATGGCTTTAGCAAGTGACCCTAGCACTCTCATTCTACTCTAATGTCCCCCTCATGCCTCCTCATGACCGTGCTATGTGTGTCACTCTGCCTGTGGAGTGTGATTTCCCTAAAGGTTTTGCAGCGTTCTCTTTCCTTTTGCTGAGTCCCAGCCTAAGAGGCAGGAAATCATCTGTTCCCCTTTTGAAGGAAGGACAGAAACATGTGGCAGTGCATGACATGCTATAGACATCTAGGGTACAGGAGGGACCACTAGTGACTAGTGGTGTTTTTTTGGCAGTGGGATCACAGCACTTGTAAGTGGGTTAGATAGCCCTGATGCGATGCTCCAGAGGAAGACAAGTCTCTATGCTCCCTGACCCAGAACTGTCTTGGCCATGGGGAAAGGTCCCTTTTTATTTCAGTGTCATGACCATTGCTTTATTCCCTTGTGTGTCAGAAAGAACTACCATGGCTGATCTTGCAAGTATCCACTCTTTTTTCCCTTTGTCCTGCATGCTGGGCCACAGAGCACAGAGGAGGACCTGGAGGAGGAAGAGCAGGAGATGGAGGAGGAGGCAGAGGCAGAAGCAGAAGCAGAGGAGAAAGGTGCAGCAAATCCTTGAGGAAAATGATAAAAATAACCCCCAAGCATAGACCCGTCCACCTTTCTGGTGAGAGCTCGCAGCCAGCAGCAGGGAAGGACTAGGGCAGGTGTGGGGCATGGGGAAGTCCTTTCAGGGAGCAGGAGTTCTCGGGAGACAAAGCTGACCGAGGAGAGCTGTCACTGTGGCTGCTGCTTTGTATTTGATACTGCTGGGTTTATTTATGGTTATACTTTTATTTGCAGACTGTACACCTATTCAGGATTGCTCTGAGCTCCTTCAGACCATCCTTCCTCCTCCCCTCCGTGTCCATCCCAGCACTGTCACCTCCCTCCTACCCTGCCCCACTCTCCAGCATCCTTCCCTCAGCATCCTTTGCCTGCCAGGACTCAAAGCGTTCCCTGCTCTGGACCCTGTTTCTCTTTGCTCCTCACTTTTCCTCCTCTGCAGGTATGTTACCTGTCTGCACTCTCAGCTCCCGCCAGCCTGAGCTCTGCATGAGTGACTCACTTCCCTCCTGTGGGTATGGCCCTGGTTTGTAGAGCTTGGGGAGGGGAAGGAGGGAGGGGAGGCTGACTCATCTCTAAGGAAGCTTTTCCAGTTCTCATCCTATGTGTGTCTTTACCTGCCAAGCAGGCCCTACGGCTCTGGACCAGAGGCTCTGACAGCAGAAAGGAGAGCAGAGCTGGTGGGAATGAATGCAAACTGGGGCGGGAGGGGGGGGAAGTCTGCCACGTGTCTGCCTGACACGCATGCCAGATCACTTCTCCAAGCTGCCGCCTGCAGCTCCTTTGCCTGCCAGCCCAAAAGCAGTTTTCAGGAGGCAGCCTGTTATTTTTCCCTCCCTGCTCTCACTTCCCTGGGCTTTTCAAAACCCCATGGCCTTTGGCAGGGTAAGAGTGCAGCGGGAGAGGGTGGTGAAGGCAGAGCAGAAGCGGATGGTCCCCTCTTCAGATGCTCTTACAGCTGTGTGCAAAATAAGCCTCTGTTCTGCCTCCTGCTCAAGGAGGCTGTCTAACTGGTATGCATGGGGCTAGGTACGGAAAGCTTTAAAAGGAGGACTCCTCTCTCATACTGGAAAACCACAGGACTCTTGTTAAACCGGAGGTGCTCAGTGCCACTTTCCATCCGGGTGGAGGGCACTTGTTAGCTGGTTGACATTTCTCTTTCCTGTTCAATAACCTCCTTGTCCATGGCTGTGGGACCTGAGTGTTACTCTCTTAAAAGTCAATGTATGTTAATCACATGTACTCGTCCTTCCTTTTCTCTGTTCTCCCACCCTCACTCCTCATCTCTTTTGAGTCTGTTATTATTTCCACTGTCATTTCCCTTTTCCTGTTTCTCACTCATCTCTCTATGCTCAATCACTTTTCTTTTCCTGCCACTGATTTTGTTTCTCTCTTTCTCTCTTCATTCTCTAGCTGTTACAAGCCAGAGGTCTGAGGATGTGATCCCGACACTGCACTCCAGCCTTTTCATTTCTTGTTTATATCTTTATTTTTGTACTGCGGCATACGGTGACCCTTTGCCACATGGTGACACCCTCCCCCCCCCCCCCCGTCTCCTTCACTATGTTTTACAAACTGACCTCGGAGACCTCAGCCTCCATCCCTGGAGGAAGGCAGATGCTGCATGAAGCCCCATGGCTGCTGGAGCGGCTTGGAGCCCAGACCCCCCCTCACCGCCCCGATGCTTAGCAGGCTGGCTATCCTTAATGTCACAGTGGCCCCTGCTGGGGACATCAGTGATAAGCCACTGCAGCTTGCGGTCCCTTCCTCAACACCCTGAGTGCAACCGAGGCCCCGAGGTGGTGGCAGCATCAGAAGTACCCCTTGTCCTTTTGCTGTTGCAGGTCAGGGCTTGTGGCCAGAGGGCAAGTGCAGAGACACTGCTCTTTTCTGTGCCACCTGCACTGCTCGTGGGGTGTCCCTGTGCTGGGCATTGCATCCTTGGTGCCTCCCTGCCTGTCTCCCAGAGCAGCCCTGTGTTGGCAGGGTAAGGAGATGGATGTGTACCCAGAACATGCTGGCACCTGATGTGGTGATCCCTGTCTTGAGGAGCGGGGTGTTGGCCTCACTGCTGTGCCTGAGAACACCAGGTTGTAACTCCCAAATAAAATTCACACTCTGTTCCTTGCCGCCTCTCATTTCAAGTGGCAGAAACGTAGTGCTGCAGAAGGGGGCTGTGGGAGCTGGAGGAGTTTGAATTCATCACCTGGAGCCACCAGAAGCTGCTTTTGCTGCGCCTGCCTTCCGGGGGCTGGAGATACTTCCCACTGCATTGCTGCTGCATCTCCACTGCAGTCAACTGGGTATTATTGGTATCTGCAGCCCTAAATCATAATAATAAGTGAGGATCCCCCATCTCTCTAGCTAGATCCCACTGTGCCTGGGGGACAGCTGAGAAGGGAGCATAAGGGTGTGGAAATTTTTGCCAGTTCTCAGTGCCGGGATTGGAGTTTGGTCAAAAAGATACTAACCCCAAGATGATTTTTAATATGGTAATGCAAACTAGAGCAAAAAAAACCCTCGAATTATTTTTATTTCTAATTTCAGAGAGTGGCCCATTGTAAATATACACACACATATATATATCTTTGGTAAAAAAAATCAAACCCATAGCAGTTACTGTTTCAGCACTGAAGCCTTCTCCTTCACTTCCTGGATTCTCTTGAGTTAGGAGATGGAAGCAGTTGAGGCACCCTCACATTAAATGTATTTAGAAGGGGAAGGGGATGGGAGGCTGCTCTGATGGGCATTTCCCTGGGGAAAGCGCAGCAGCAGAGGCTGGGTGCTGCTCCAGCAGGGAGGCAGGACACGTGCCTGGGGGTGTGACGCTGGACTCATGCCTGGGAGTCAGCGAGATGTGAAGAGCTGCCTGGTTGAGCTGAGCAGCACACTGAGCAGCACGCGCAGGCTAAGAAAAGAAGCAATTAGGGAGATGGAAGAGGAGGAGTGATGGGAGGGTAAGGGGGAAGAAGGATGAGCAGCAGGAAGGAAGAGGGAGGCAGATTGATTTCACAGTTACTGGAATCTCTAACTACATCAGTCACATTTTTCTTTCAGCAAATGTTCCAGCATAAGATTGCAGCTGGATCACATGGTTCATGGAAAGTTCAACTCCCCTTATTCCATCAACTTGGACTGCTGCTGTGTGTTGTGTCACATGCACAGCCCCCCCCCCCCCCCCCCTTTTGGATGGATGGCCTAAAAACACCTTGGGATGCTCCCTGGGAAGCACTAAGAGGGAAGAAGGTTTGCCTGGTTTTCTCCACAACTCCCATGGCACCGTCCTGGGTCTGACAACATCCTACATAGAAACTCTCCTTCTCTGAGAGGCAAGTGAGCAAGATCAGGAATGAGTGCAATGTGGGTGTAGGTCTCATGGCGAGAAGGCAGAGATGCACTTTTCTCAGCTCATGGTTTGGTTCAACCAGGCCAGCACTTGGGTGATCCTGGTGTAGACTCCATAGTGATTTGGACGTGCGCATCCCATTCCCCAGCTGACCAAACCAGCCAGAAACCACCTGCCACTGGGTTCCTTGCAGGCCAGCGGACCTCCAGAATCACCCTAGAGAAATGGAAAAGAAAATGGGGTAATGGTGATCCATTGTTTCTTGCTGCTCTGTGTGGCATTTCCAAACATATGGAGAGGAAGGAAGCTGGTGGAATTTAACGGGATACCTGGAGGAATGGGAGACAGAGGAATTCCTTGCAATTGATAATAATGAAGGAACACACAGGCTAATGTGCGTGACAAGAGCTACAGAGGCTGAGGGGTAAAAGACTGATGTAAACACATGACCTGGAAGTGTGAGGTAAAGAGTGGAGAATGGGCTGAAATAAGAAAAGGGGGAGTTTAAGTGCAATTGGATCCTGCCTAAGGCAAAGATGGTGGGAAGAAGTGTCCCAAGAACTATTGCTGGACACTTAGATCAGAGGAAATGTTGGGATAGTCACGCATTTTACAGTCTTTTCACCCTTATTTCAGGCTATGGTGTGCATCTGGGAGACTTGGAACACACCCCACCTCCGGTAGGCAACCCTGATCCCACAGTTCCTCCGTCACCTGGCAGGCATCTTTGTTGCCCTTGTGGTACCCAGCACACAGCATCCTGGGTGAAATCATGTAGTGATAGGCCTCGCTGCAGATGTCCTGCTGGATGAGCTGCACGTCCACCTTCTGCAGAACATTACTGATGTGCCCTGAGTGGTACAGCACCAAAAATAGTGCAGGTGAGCAGTGGTGGAGCTTCCCACCATTTACTGTGATCCTCAGCCCATGCCCATCCCACTGTATGCTGAAAGCTGCCATTTCTATTCTGCTTTTCACTGTCATCACAGTCTAACTTACAGCAGGGCACTGCACTGCTCCCATTGAATTTAATAGTACAGGTGTGGCCGAGGGGATGCAGGTTCGAGGGTCTTTGACATGAGGAAAACGTTGCTGTAAGCAAATGTCTATATAAACATGGGGTTGGGCTTAAGAGGCTGGGGCTGCTCCCTGCTGTGATCATGGCTGAATAGGCACTACACAGACCCCTAATTCCTGAAGGACCATTCTAGTCTTTGAATTAAAGAACGCATGCTGTCCCCATATAGATTACCACACTGTCATGCTGTCCTCTCTGAATGGGATTTCAAGGTACTCAGTAGGTAGCTTTATCCAACCTGTGACCCAAAATCAAAGGGGGTGAAGGAGGCATAATGCTTTGGGGTAAACAGAAGTCTATCCTGCCTACCTCGCATCTGAACCTATGTTTCTGCCTTGGCTCTGCTACAGCAGGCCACCAGCAAAGACCTTGCACCTACCGCCTTCCTTGAGGGCTCCCCAGCCAGTGATCCAGCAGTGAAGGCCAGGCTCAAAGAAGTGAGAAGGAGCAGGCAAGCAGATGGGCTGGATTAAGGGTGAGATGATGACAGGATGGTCCAGCTGGAGCAGGGCCACATCGTAATCATGGCTGTCCTCCTCGTAGTAAGGGTGGAGGAAGAGGCGGATCACCTTGAAGGACACCTCGGTGTGGCTGGTGGCATTTTGCAAGTATTTCCCCAGGTAAACTGTCCAGATGGAGGCAGAGGCCAGCCTGTGGGATGCAGCAGAGAAGATAACTTGTCACAGGGACAGGGAAGGATGGGCAGAGCCTGGCTACTTCTGTTGCAGTCTTTCAAGGAGTATCTGATATGGATGAACTTGTTCCTCAGAGGGGCCTCTTTTTTATTTGGCTACTGATATGAAGAAACTAGGTGGGACATTTTTTGATGCCTTGGCATGCCTGTACGGTGGGACCAGCTTTGGGCAGGTGCTCATTCACATGGGAAACTTGACATTTGCTTATTTTCCTTCACAAAGCAGGCTCAAATGTGTATATAGGTTAGGCAAGCAAGTGGGGCTGGTCGTGTGCAAGTCATTGTGATAGAGAAGAGAGGAAGGGCTGAGTGGGTGAAGCAAAGCTGCAAGGAGAAGGAGAGATGGAGAAGGAGAGCAAGCTCTCAGAGGTTTCTAAGAGGGAGTAAAGTGAGAAAAGCAGCGCAGGAGTGAGGGTATTAAAAGGCATGACAGCCCTTTACAGGAACGGGGGTGAAAGCCAGGAACAGCCTAACAAGGTGATAACACAGAGAGCAGTACAGCTATCTAACAGGGCTGTGCTAGCTCCCCCCCATCTAGCATTGGGACACTCCAAAATGGTCAATTCAGCCTGCATGGGCCACTTGAAAGCCCTGCTCCCAGTGCTGGTGGGCTTCCTTGAAGGGTTGTAGGACACAGGTAGGAGCATGGCAGGAGGAGGGCGAGGTGAGAAGTGCAACTGCAGCACAGCCCCAGGCCTACCAAGACTGGTGTCACCATACTGAAGGTGACAGCATGGGACCCAAACAGCATCCTCCACAGGTAATGCTATCCTGGACCCATCCTAGCACATGCTGAAGCCTCCATGGTTGTCATAGCATGGGGACAAGCCAGAGCCAAACCAAAGGTAGAACTGTGAAGTGTCTTCCACTACCATTGCCCTCCCAAAGCTGCTCTGTGAATCCAGCACTGCCCCTTTTTCCCTGATGCACACCCAAACACTAGTGTGTGTACCCATACCCCTTTCTCCAGCTGCAAGCCATGATAATCCTCCCATCACATATGGCACGGAAAGCAGTGCAGGCCCTTCTCTCTCCCAGCACCCTCCCCTCTCCGTTTACCTCTCATCCTGGAAGCAGTGCGCAGCTGAGACCACCCAGCGATCAGCAACAAGTGTTCCCCCGCAGATGTGGCGCCCCCGAACTTGCAGGCTGGCCTGCCATGGCCATTCCCCTTCCACGGAATTCTTACCCCCCACGATCCTGCTGAGAGGGGCTTGGAGCCCACAGTCTGAGGAAGAGCAGATGCAGCAGGTACTTCAGGGGAGGAAGGGAACGTGATATACTGTGCCTGCCCTTCCTTTCCGACTTAAATCCTGCTTATTTGACATTTAATGCCTTGCCTTGCCCAGCAAGCAGATGCTTTATGTACTGTGCAGGACAGGTCTAAGGAGCACTCTGCCCTGCATGTGCCCCCACTGATGCCTGCACAGCCTTAGCCTGGGGATGTCTTTGGGGCAGCACCATGTCTGTGCTACCTGCTGTGCTGCTGGGGAACCCTCACAGTCATTCCCCTTCACCTCCCACCAAGGCCCTGCATAAAACAAGCAGGGAAATGAAAACAGAAACTCTCTTCCCGCCAGTGACCATGCAGTCACGAGTGATTTCCCTGGCTGGAGCCTTGTAGGATGGCATTACTTCACATAAGCCAGCATCGTGGTCCAACAGGCAGCCTGTGGGTAGGACCTGGCATGTGAGGCACGTCTATCTGGCCTGCTGCCTCTGCCTGAAGGAGATGGGGAGCAGCAGTCCAAAGAGGAAAACGCCTGCTCACAGCTCGGCACAGAGATGGCTCCTTGCTGCTTCCACTGCAGGATGGAGAACCGGCACTGTTGCCATGGGGCAGGGGTAGGGAGAAGGTAGTGGAAAAAGGGAGGCTGGGTGATGATGGTGGTGAGGAAAAGGAGGCTCTGTGGCACCCCAAACCTGCCTGGCACATGTATGACTGAGCATTTCCTCACCACAGCTCTTCTCATCGGACAGGTCCTTGCAATCTGCAGTGGTGTCAC